TAGGGAAAATGAAAATACCCCCCAAAATAATGCAGTGCTCGAGAGGATAAAGTCTAAACTACAATTCACAGTGAAAAATCCTTCTGTTACCTTTACATGTCTTCAGCGGAGTTTATCTGCTGGTAGTAGTTGTAGATCTATCCCTTGTCTTATTTAACGATTTATCTTGTTTGTTGTTTTTCCATATGGTTTGTATGCTGGAAGGCCGCAATGAGGTTAGCAAGTAAAGCCTAAAATATTTAATTCCTTAGCAGTCTCCTGTTAGATGGACTATTACCAGGGCCTAAAATAATTTGATAGCCCGTGATTTTAACTCCTGGAATGGGCAAGAAGAAAGGGAGTAGGCCACATCCTGCAGGCTCTATGTAGGCTGAATTTTCAATGACATGGTTTGCAGAAAGAGCAGATGATGTCTGACTGTGCACAAGCACACATTTTCTTTGCCTCTATTTAAATGAAAAGAAACTGTTGCCAGGAAATAAGTTTTCTGAATGCAAGCACTTACACATATTTCATTTGCGCTGAAGAAGGCACATGGGAAAACATTATTACACAATTATCACATATTGGCAAAATCTTCCTACGATCAAAAATCTCTTTCAGCTCCTACCCTTTAGGATACCAAAAATTTGCCTCCTCCCACAGGCAAACACATGTATAGTTCAATAATAACTATGAGATTTCTACTCTATTGGACATGATACTCCTTCTCACTTTAAACCTTCAAGAGAGTCAAAGGAAAACAACTATTCAGCCGATCTTCACAAATTTTTATTTTTATGCCTCTGCATTATTACCTCCTCCTATGGGAACCAAAGTCTGTACAATGTTACATGTTTTTAAAAAGCCCATCTCCTTCTAAGTAAATTCTAGACATAGTCATGTAAAACCAATTTCAATTGTAACTGAAGACTTTCCTTGGAGTGATTTAATAACTCCATTCATTAGTACCACATTACATGATAATCACTTTTGCTAGCTTATATTACAACAATATTATTGTTTAGAATATGTAATAATAAAGCAATTTTCTTCTTCTTGTTTCTTTTGTTCCTAGATACTGCTAGCACTGAGTGTTCCTTGCAATTTCCAGACAGAGATTACATGTGGTGGGACATCTTCATGAAAATCTGTGTTTTTGTCTTTGCATTTGTTATTCCAGTTCTCATTATAATTGTTTGCTATACGCTGATGATCCTGCGTCTTCAAAGCGTACGGCTTCTCTCGGGGTCTCGAGAAAAAGATCGAAACCTGCGCCGCATTACCAGATTGGTTCTTGTGGTTGTGGCAGTATTTATTATCTGTTGGACTCCTATTCACATTTTTGTGCTGGTCGAAGCATTAGGGGATGTGTCCCATAGTACTGCAGCTATATCCAGCTACTATTTCTGTATTGCTTTGGGTTACACCAACAGCAGCCTCAATCCAATCCTGTATGCTTTTCTGGATGAAAACTTCAAGAGATGTTTCAAGGATTTCTGTTTTCCATTTAAGATGAGGATGGACAGGCAGAGCACCAGCAGAGTCAGAAACACTGTGCAAGATCCGGCCTATATGAGGGAAACAGATGGGACAAACAAACCTGTATGACTAGTCGTGGAAATGTCATCTTACTGCCCTCAAGAGAGAGAAGAATCCAATGACCTTGGACTGACTCAGATTACTACTGCGCTTTGAACTAGACTCACCCAGAGAGACATTTTTGGAATATTTAAGAAATCCTGGTCATTTGAGCTAAAACAAGTTAATTGTTGACAAATAAGAAACTCCTGAAAATAAGCTCAAATGAAAAGAACCTGACTGGTGGCCAGGTTTTGGGGCCACATTTACTGTAGAGCACCTCTGGGGAGAGAGGAGGTACTGATTGTCGTACCAGGTGACTCTGGATCAGGAAAGCTCTGGCTTTTCTCTTCACTGTGTGTAAGTGAAGTGAATAATTAAGCAACATTTGGCCATAACACTGAGTTATGCTAGAAATACTGTTTTGACCTGCCAGTGATTGCTTTTGAATGGTCTGACGACTTGATTTGTTGTACTCTTTTACTGTGAAGAGTATTTAGGTTTCTGCAGAACATTGCCAGAGCTATAATCAATATTCTCAACTAATATATCCATAATATTTGTCTGTGCTGTGGAAATACAAGTTAAACGTGATCTGCCTACGTACCAAAGTGATTTTATTGTGTCTGTATATGGTAAAGCATTTCAGCGTTTTAAAAAATGTGTTGGGATTTAAGGCAAATTGTTAGTATATTTTTAGCACATGCTTGGTCACCTATGTGCTATGTTTTTTATGTGTAATTTTCCAAGATGATTGCATATTTATTGATTGTGAATAATATAATACGCATATCAGTAATGTGTTTTCAACAAGAGACAGGAAAATTTCAAATTCTTCATTTGTTACAAAACCGTTAAAAAATTGTTCCCCACTCATTATACTGGAACATAAATATTTGCATTCCATTTTCACTGAAGGATATGCTTAAAAATAGTGCTGTACTTGTTTTGCCAGACAATTTGTAAGTAGACCAAAATAAATATTTGAAGAGTTGTTATTAGAAACTTGTATACTGATTAAGCAGACTGATACAGAGGAAATTAATATCAAATATATTGGATGCTCTAAAGGCACTTGAAAGTGAAAGTTCTCATTTTATTGGTGATAATAACTTTTTCTTTGAAACGATCCTATGAAATTAGTCAATTTATCTGTTTTCCTGTGAAGATGGAGAAGCCAAGGCACAGAGAAGTTGCTGGCTTGCTGAAGGTAAGTTTATGGCAAAACTGAGTCTAACCTGCCACCTTCAGTCCATAGTCTTTAGTCTTCCTAACTGTTAAATACTATTATCCCTATTTCTCCTCTCCCTGAAGTTCGGGGAAATATTATCATTATCTTCACCGAGAACAGGTTTAGCCACCAGAAATCTTGATAACTTATTTGTTTATACAAAATCGTCAATAAGGTGGATGCCTTTCCTGCATAGTAAATTTACTGAGAAACACAGTCTGGCTTGGTTCTAGCGGACCATGAAGCCAACCAAACAAAAATTATTTGTGCACACCAATACAACTCATGAGATTTACCATTGTAGCTTGCAGTACAGGTCTTGTGGAAATGCAGTAGAGAGGCAGCCATCCTGCATATGTTGACATTCTTTATTTTCAAATACAATCACGTATGTCTAATAATCTTTGCACTGAGTAAACAAATGCAGCTACATTCATCTTGCAGTACCAAAGTAATCCTGAACAGTCAGTGGTCTGTATAGCCATCCAATGGAGCGGCCATGTAGAGCAGATCTTGTGAAATTCAGGCCATGAAGCTTTGTACTTCAGAACTAACTGCTCTAATGTAATTTGCTTTGTTTCGCTTTGTTAGTTAAAATATTGAGGATAATCTTTACTGGCTAAAACTAGTACTTTCTGATTGTTTCTAAGTGGTAAGTGAATAGCTGACCTCAGAATACCAGATTTGCCTGAGGAAATGAATGTTCACAGAACTGTTTGTATGATTCTAACTTCCTCTGTCTGGTCTGTCTATCTCTCTTTCTCTCTCTCCTTTTTTTTTTTTTTTTGAAAGCCTCTCTGTAACATGTATACACATTTCTAAATGATGTTCTGAAGTTTAAGTATTCACAAGAGAATGTTTAAGGTAAAAACTAAGAATTAGTAAATGAACTGTGATAGAAATAGGCTCTAATGAATTATTTTCATTCGGAAAACCACTTAATTCTTGTCAATGTTTTACTGACGTGTTGTGTATGTTCATCTGTTTTGGAAGAGTTATTATTCCATACATTACGTGCAGTGCTGAATGAAAAATCAATGTTATTCTTAAGTTGTTAAAAGGAGAAATCTAATCATCAAATTTTTGTGATGCCTTTTTTGGGTAATGAGATCATCTTCCCTATCATATTTGGGGGAAAGTATGAGATCCTGGCAAATTTTCTGGGTTTGAAAACATTAGACTTGAAGAGTGATACAAAAAATATATATTAAAGATTGATTTCTTTCCATTGAACATTAACAGACAAATTTGTTTGGGTAAAGCAGAAGGAAATCTTGGAAGTTTTCTTGTAAAATTAGAAGGCGTACTATGTTTCACTGAACAGCAAAGGAAGGTCGGAGTTGTTCACAGAATCTGCTTCCAGATGCTTAGTTTCCCATTCTTCTTCCACTAGTTCCCATAATAGAATGATTAATAGACAAGACCAGTTATTTTTGCAAGGACATGCTCAATGACTTTGGAAACCTGTATTTAATCCTTGTAAAGTACCTTACTTTCTGTGTAACTCCAGACAAATGATTTGCCTTCACTCTGTTTAGCCACCAGCTGAAGAATTTTAGCATTAGCTTCTTGACATGTTCAGTTCCCTACTTGTAAAACAGGGATGATGGTGTGGTACAAGGAAGTTTTAGGGCAGCAGAACCTGTGGTCATAGCTGATGAGTCAAACACCTTTGTATACCTTCAGAGGGTTTCAGGAAACTTGACGTTGCACAAGTATGGCACAAGGGAATAGACAGCAGCCATTCGTCCAGGCCCTTCACCCACTGCAAATGAGTGTGTTGTCATCTATGTCACTGGTACTGAGTCTGTTATAGTAGTGCCAGTATTTACTTCACGGTTTCTTCCAGGCTAAAAAATTTCTTGGAGTGACATGAAGATAGATAACCCAGTTGCGATTACTAGACAGGCAGTGAAATATGGGGTTCCCTCCTGTTGCAGGCTCAGAACCAATGCTCCAGATTTCCTTTCATTTCTCCCGTCTCTGGAAACTCCCATACTCCAAGCACCATGTAAGACACGTGTGGTCTGAGAGAAAGTGTCATTTGACCTGGTAGAGCGGCTTATTCCCATACTCTAATTAGGATATTAGGGAAGCATCTCCTGTGTTCTTTACTTTTTAGTATTTAAAAATCCTATATACGGAAAACAGCGCCCTCGTTCAGTGCTTCTGCCTGTACTTCAGCACAGCAAAAGAGCACTCCTTTTGAGTTACTGAAGCTAGTAGACTATCTTCTCTGAAACCTCACTTAGACTTTACAGTGTAGAGGTGCCAGACCAATTAGAAAGTGGAGGACAGTTTTGGTCTCACGTCTCTCTCTACTACAAAGTTTAACTGTCCTTAGGATTTACTTTACAGTTGCCACTAGACAATCACTGTAATTAATTTTATTTACTTTTTAGTGAGATTGTAAAAGAATAATTAGGAGGAAAGAATAGCTAGGAAATTTGTTCAAATCTCTCTAACCCTGAGGATTTAACTGAGCCCACATTTTTGCATATAGATGAATTCTTCTTAGAATTCCACAGCAAGGAATAATAGTTCTTTTTTTTTTTTTTTTTAAAAAAGTTGTTTCCTGGGGTGGAGAAACCTCAGTAAAATTCCTATATGTCACATGTTCTTCACTTTCCCTATTGTTGCAATCTTCCATACACTGAATTTTTCTTTATTCAAATATGAAAGCTCTTGCCTACTTTCAACATTGTTCTCTAAAAACCAAGGTGACCACTGTTACTTTTACCTTCAGTTGCAATTCAGTAGTTCATTGATTCTTATTGTCCAAGACTACCTTATAGTAGATTTTTGTTTTATTTAATGGCAGTCATGATTTCCTCCTAAGCTAAAGAAAGCAAATATGTATTGAAAGAAAGACAAATTACATAACTAATTTCCATGACAGAGACAGACTGGAAGTGGAAAGAAAATATAATTAGGTCACTAACAAACAGAATACTGTTCATGTACTGTACATCATAACAAATAATGAACTAAATAAAGGCAGAAAGTCTCACCTGTGGTGGTGAGATTGTGAAGGATGGGATGTTTGTGTGCATGAGAACTAGCCCTTCCTTCCCTTGCGTGTGCACACATATATGTATATAGAAAACTATTCAGTGTCTCACTGCTGGTGTACTCAGCATACATTAAATTGAAGAGGGCACAAATAATCAAAAAATTTTTTTTGGCTGCATGGATAAATAAAGTGCTAAAGGAAAATTATTCATCATTACTAAAATACAAAAAATAAGATATGCTCTGCCACAGTGTGTGATTGGTAGCAGCTGCGTTTTCAGGTAGTTACTGCTCTAGTAGAGGTGATTAGTTCTGAAACACGCTATCTTGTTTTGAACTGGACTTAAACATTTTCCATTTAGTATATGGCAAAGTAGCCAGATGCTGAACTTAAGCTGCCACTCATATAGTCTTACATGGAACAACCGGGTATAGAAGGAACCTTCTGAGTTGCACAAAATATATTCATTTCCATATTTTTCTATGATGATAACAGATGGGACCAAAAAAGCAAGTTTCACAATACTGTGAGAACAGTTAGATTTTGTATTATTGGCAGCACGCTAAGAAAAGAACTTCTTGTTGTGATCTACCTTGCTCACTGTCACAGATCTAAGCCAAGTTTGTGATATTTAAGGTGTTCCAGGGGAAATATATGACTCTTAAACATCCTGATGGAAAAATAATGACACACAGACATTGCAGCTATCTATCTTTTGTATATATATAGTAATAACTATTTTCTAATTGGAAGCCTAGAGAAGGATAAGGAGTTTTATTCAAACAGCCAGTTTCATTTAAGTTTCATATTTTGCCCAGGTAAAGCAAGACGGCACACTTTTAGTTTTTAAGTCAAAGCAGCTCCTTAAACGGTTCAGCTCTGACTGTTCACTGTTCAGAAGGAATTTATGTCTCACGGTGAAAAGAAGCTACTTTCAAAACTAAACATGCAACAATGTATACAGTTTCTAACAGGTTTTAAGTGTCTTCTCTCACACATGCCTTTAAAAATTTCCTCCCCACAGTAATATAAGACATAGCACTTTATTTTAAGGCTAGACAGTGAGACCTCCTTTAATCTGTTAGTAAATAAAATAGAAGAGAGGGATTAGTAAGTTTTTCTTTTTCTTTTTTAAAGAATTTGAACTTGAAAAATAAACGATGTCAAAGAAGTGATGTAATTTTACTCCAGATAAAGGTTTGGCTAATGGAGTTGGCAAGGCAGCCACTAAGGCGTTGCCCAACACGCAAAACCACTTTTCAAGTTCAGAGAGAATGTCCATTAAAAACAGCCATCTCTAAGGAGACTGAACTTTCCTTAAAAATTCAAACCTGCTCTCCTCTGCCAAGTTATGATCAATGTAAGCAGGCCAGTACTGAAATGATATATTTGCTTATTATGAAATGTTTTATATCCAGACTTCATATTAAAATCCTGAAGTGCCATTTTTCTGCTTGCAGTTGTAACTGGCTAGAAAACTTCTACATTTACATTTATTAGCTTTTAGCCAGGTTTGTTGGTAGAATTTGACTTCCTCTTAAAAAGCCTTGACTGTATAATAGAAGTTCTAGTAACACATTTTTGAAGGATTATTAACAATGGAAGGAAAAGAACAAAGCTGAGCAAAGCCTGTTTACCACACAGAAGGAGGACACAAAAAAAAAAAAGTCATTTGCTGCATCCTGTCCACACTGTGGTTGTGAAAGACTGCATCAAAATCTTTGTTTGCAAAAGATACATGTTGGACTCTATCATGAAAGATCAAATTATTCTGAAGTACTGATTTCAAAGTTCTGGTTTTGAGATTGTAAAGTTTCCTGTATTAGTGCTGCTCTCTGATAAGACTCAGTTACTTACTATGCATACTAATAAAAGCCTGAAGAGACATGAAAATGGCAATCAAGCAGAATTGCCTTGTTTTCTCTGACCCACCTCCTCACAGAAATGTAATATTTCTGAATTTCTAGAATTCTGTTGCAGGTCTAAATACTTACGATGCTGCCTAAAAGACAGAGCTCTAAAATAATAAATGTATGGTAATATGATAGCGCAGTGCTAGTAGCAAGCTGTCTGACACATATGAAATGGTAAAACTAGCAGATGACAGAGAAATGACACTCAGCTGCTGAGAAACTCCAGGCTCAGTGATTGATATTTAAGAAATATTAAGATATTTCTTAATATGCTGAGATTTTTTTTGGAAAATTTAAAGGGAAAATTCTATCCTATGAAAGACGACAGGAAAGCTTTTGATGATTTAGGCCAGCGTCTCTCTTTGTGGTGGTAAATCAAGAGTCCTTCAGGAGAAAACAGTTGGGGTGACTGTGTTGGAGTATTTTTCAATTTCTTATCAATTCTTAGTCCACCATAACACTTGTTCCAAAGGAGAAGTTTCAATTGGCTGAAGCAAAATATTGTGACTCGTTTTGTTTCTTGAAAAATGCTGAAAATTTGACTTCTTATGTTGATTCAGAACTAGATGGGAAATTTCAGAATTTCCCACGGAGGAGGGAATTTGCTGGTTAAATATAGTCTTTTCATTGCCAGTCAGGGAGAGGACCAGGGTGCTACATACGTTATAGCAGCTGGAAGTAGAAGACCTTGTAAGAAGACAGCCTTCCTGGATGTGAACTGATTTGAGCATCTGTACAGCACAGCAGTGACTGCGTAATGCTTACCAAAAAGTAGAGCTTCTTAAAGCAGCATTGCCATAGTATAGTCAACCAAATAAATGTACAGGATGCTAGCTTGCATTATACGTATTTTTAAGCCTGAGTTTCCATTAGCTAAGGGCTTTCTGAACTGAATTATCTTATTGACTCTTGGAATGAGGGCACAGAGGATTAAATCTGTTTAGTTTATAAAGTGAATTGGTGGGTGACACTACAGAAAGGTGAAAAAGAATAGAGAGGCAATAAAGGAGATGATCTATCATCACAGTACAAGAATAAAAATACATTTTTTTTGAAAAAAAAAAGAAAAAAGGTTGAAAAGTCATCAATACTTGCATACACAATATATTATTAACACGTGGAACTTGTTGCCAACACATGAAATTGAAGCCCATGGCTCAGTCACGATCCAAAAGAATTATTTGTGTAGTTGAATCAGAGAGTTAAGAGGATAAAAACCTTCATGTTTAAATCACCATTTCAAGCATTAAACCAACACTAAGCTGACCAGGAGCATATAGCAAACTTGGGGTTATAGGCTAAGGAATAGTATCGCCATCAGGGAAGCTGATGTCCAGCTTTATTTCAAGCCCCTGCTCAGAGTAGCGGAGCATCTGGCGGATGTTGCTCTAGGACGGATACCCAGGGATTTTAGGATGAACTACAGTGTCTGGTGAGAAGAGAAACCGACTATAAGAAGTAGCTTTTCCTTAGGACTGAGAAATTACAATTTTAAAATGGAATCTGAAATGAGAGCTACTGCTCAGGAAAGGAATAGTTGATGACATACCTTGGTGTAAGTGCAAAGGCCTTCTGTATTTGCTAGATAACAGAGAAATATTATTTTAGGGAACTTAAGAAAAGAGGAATATTTTCATAAAGTAAGTTCTGAAGAATAAACACAAAAATGTTGGCTAACTAGGTAGTTTTAACAATTAATAATATTTTTCTTTTATATTTGTACACCGTGCTACATTTTGATATTTACACCACTTAAAAAATTGTTTCCATCATGCCA